GCGGGGATTAAGACCATCCTTTTCGTCATTTTAGATTGTGATTATGATTTTATAGCAAAGTAGAAAGTATGAACTGGTTTTGAACAGAAAACAAACAAAAATAAAAACTTGACCCACAATAGAAACATTTTTCAACGACAAATATTTCAAGATGAAATATTACGTGGTACTGAATATTCCGCATTATCCTCAGCTGAGTTGCTTACAGTTGCTTACAGTAGTGTACAGTTGATTTTTTACCAAAACGAGAGAAAATCAAATAAAAACAGTCCAAAATTCGGCGGTTGTTTTTTTTAAATTAATAGTGAATCAAAGTTGGGTGCAGAAATAATGCACTCGTGGACCTCTTTCCTATATGACAGGACTAATTTCTATTATTTTCTATCCATGTAAATTAGCCTTTTTGGCCTCGACCAATGTTTAAAAGTAATAAATTTCCACTAAAAAGTGAGGCTAATAAGTTGAATGAACTTAAAGGGATGATAATAACGCCCGCCATTATGAAAGAGGCCTATGACGCGTAACTCTCTTCCCTTATTATTCTTACCACAATTTTAATTAGTTTTCTTTCTCTGCCGTTCTAGTTCGAGTCCAGTTAGCCCTTCCACAAAAAATACCAATACCAGGAGAACAACAGAAGATTTCAGGTAAATTAAACAGATCTCAATTTTATAGAATCATTAGTAAACTATGTGAACTGTACGCTACGCATTATTGTCCTCCTACAGGGAGTCACCGCTAATTTAGGGATACGACTGAACTCATCTTTTGAGGTAAGGAAAATCTCAAAGAATTATTCGGATGTTTACCTTGGTTATATTATATAAAAATCTTTTTTAAGTTAATGGGTGAGGAGCATGTGTGTGTGAATGAAAATTTTATAACCAGGATTCTACACTTACTTCCCGTGCACCTATTTTTGACATTTTTATCAAGATTCAATCTCGTTTTGTCCTCTGTTTGCTACTTTTTGACGTCATGAAATATATCTGTTTTATGAAAAGGCAAAAAAAAGCTATCTATGATATAAATGACTTCATTTTTGTGCCTTTCTTCTGATAGATCATTGCTAAGAACTCACAGAACAAACTCAGTTTTTTCCCGCAAATAGAACAACTGCGTAGATCCTCTTTCGACGTAGAATTGCTATGTGAAATGCAACTCTCTGTAAGACGGCATAGTGTCTGCATTAGAGAGGGTCACGTTGAAATGTGGCTGGTATCCCTTACATCTAAATGAAGAGTTGTTTTCAGGCGAAGACAAATGAAACATGATTAAAATTGGCGGAAGAGCAGATTTCATCTAATATCAAGCGAACAGTTGAGTTAGGAATGAGATGTTATTTTCAGGTATTGACAGGAAAAGCAGGCTGGGAGAACGCTCAAATGAACACATATCCATATGTGAAGTCGCTGACTTATCTTGCTTGCCTTTATTCTTTCAGATAAAATATTTCCTTCTGTACGTTTTAACATCATGAAGGCCTGGTTCCAATCTAAATGTAAGATAACTGCGTCGATGTATGCGCCCACTTGGTGATGAGAGCGATTGTGAGAATAGAACCGCAATACAGACATTATGTATAAGGAATCTTTTTTGCGATGTGTTGTTTATGGATAAAGAGGACAGAAAAATTGATGACTCACAATAGTAGGCGACTGGACACACTCCTTTCACCGTTTGATGAGGACATAACTAGCTTGGACCTTGACCCTTTCTGTGATTCCACGGTGATATCGTGGCACTCGCAGTGGCTGGTGGGAAACACTTCGGGCACAAGACACAAATGTTTATAAATAACCGTGTTGTATTTTTGTATTGATCCATGCCAACGTTGAAAGTCATATGTGTCTGACACACGAAGGAGAAGCCTGGAAATTAGATCAAATGGGTTCATCTTTGTCAATAGTCAAATACAAAAGAAACCGCCAAGCAGTAATGTATATGATGCAAATTACACAAAATTCCTTAAGAGGAGTGTTCTTATAGTTTATGTTTGAATATGATCAAGAGTTACTCTGGTTTTGACTTGATTAACTATCTTGAATTTTAAACGCAAACCGGCTTTATTAAACCACTGCCGCTATCGACCAAACCTGTAAGCATTATCCAAAAGAAAGTAAATCAAAATATAGATAAAGGAGCGACTTCGACAACATAAGTGAGTATTTAACCGGAACCCAGTTTGTCATTGAAGCGTTCGGACACTAAATATCTGTCATAGTGACAATGGTGTGAGGCTTCTGCCTATTCCTATTTCCGAACCCTGACCTTATTTTCTTATAGAAACCAGGAAGACCAAGAACTTGAAAAGGAGTTACGTATACCTGGCTTCATGGGAAAACCCTTCTTAAAAATCCTCCGAGCACAGTTTTCCCGCTCCTAATGTTTTGTATCTTGTTTCCTGATCTGAGACCCGTTCCTACAAAAGAACTGGTGCCGCCAAATCTGATTTAAAAGTACTGGCTGTAAAACGATCTGTTCTATTTGCTGACTGATGTTTTTGGTATTTGGATTTCAGTCAAAATCAACTATTCTCGATGAATGTAAACATACACAAAAAAAACAATTTTCGAGATCAGTAACTACCGCGATAATGGTAACCTACCGGTAACCTACCCATTAAGCAATGGCTCCTATCGCGATGCATTACATCTAATGAGTTTCATTTACAATCAAAAGATAATCTTTCACTTAGAAAAAGAAAAGAATGAAAACCCGTCTGAATTGATTTTTATCACACCCTCTAACTCCAACAAAGACCCTCTGTCGCACAAACCATGTTTAGTCGCTTGTCATCATACAAAAGCTCGCTTCCCATCCGCAATGGCCACTCACCTCATGGGGACGACTGAGTACCAGTCAGAATCTTACGGGCCATCGTACATTAGTGGTGGTTACACACACCTTGGGTTTGGGGCCTTATGTTGGGTAAATGGCTTGGGTTTGGTTAAGCTCAGGTTTCACGTTACCCTTGGGGATGCAGTTACACAGTAGAATCCCCTCAGGGTCAAATATAATTAGATATGAGTTCACTGACCTGACAAATAGGCAGGAAAAGTACAGAACGACATGGATGTTACGAATCGAGATCTATTAAGCTTAATTTCAGTGCTTCTCCTGCTTACTATACGACATTCCTCCATAGATATAACAGTCCAGCAGTTTTTTGCGAGAAGGGTCCGAAGAAGGCGTGAAATTAGCCAAGCGCATCGAGGTCACCTCAAAACACTGCAGGCGATTTCCTGTATTAGCTACATTCTGCTTTATGATTGGCCAAGCCACCTCAGGGAGCAAATAAACCCTATTTTTCAGTTCAGGAACTGTCACGCGAAGTTCTTTTGTTCTTTTTTATGTATCCATGGAAATAACACTAGGGCAGTTTCGGTCTGGGGAAAGCGGTTACACACAAAAACGTCCTTGCCCGTGGGCAAACGCTATTTACCCATGGGTAAAAGGGCTAGACTAATATTGTCGCCCACTGATTTAAACCGGGCTAAATTTTAACCTTCCCACTGGTTTTATCACTTGCCGTGCGCGGAGCACTACCTTAAGAAATTCTTGATGGCATCCTCTATCTGAGTTACCAAGTCCCTCTGCTTTTGCGATTCAAGAATTGAGATCGTCTATATGTTCACAACGCGTTGGCAGATTTACAGCTGTAAACTATATATCCGAGTGCGAAGTCTAAATTTTATGAACAGCTATGAGTGTGAACAATAACCTGCGGTTAACCTTAGGTGGTTTGTCTGGTACCCGGTAAATGCAGCCCTACCAATCTTAGCCATGTGCCTTCAAGCTTGGAATAAATTGCATACTACAGGATCACTGAGCTCCAATGCCACCAAGAGGAATTAAACCTTTTATTTTGTTTGGAAATATCTTTACCGTCATGAAACATTGTTATTTGTAGGTAATTACAATCATTAAGCAACCAGTCACGAACAGCATTTATTTTATTTATAGTGCGTGTTGGGAAAGGAACAAAGAAAGTGTACGAGAACAATAGAACATAACGAGTGATACGACACTTCAGAACAGATTCCTACTGTTCAACTGTCACCATTGGTGCTCATTTAGGTACTGAATTCAATCGACCAACAAAATCTACACAGGGCTTTTAGCATGCGTGCCATCCTTTCTTACCGGACTTCTCCACAGCTGACCATGATGTTAGCAATTTTGATAGCTTCTACTTTTACGTTTGGTTTTGCTCTTGAAAACTTTCAAGATCAGCAATACTTGGTACCTAAAAGCACGGTCAAAACGAATCGTCCAATTATAGGTTGGTAAAATATGTTTATGATGGTTCTCTAGCCGTTTACTAATATGGTTTTGTTTCGTTTAGATCCGTTGTAGATCTTGTGTATTAGGTTTAAGTTTCTTTATTTGCAACACTGACAATTTATTTACAGAGCCATCTAATTACTTCCTAATTACTTTCTATATGTATTAAGGCTTCATAGCGGCACGAAGTAAGATACCGCTTTGATGAACCACACGATGCTTTCAAAGTTTATTTTTATTATATTTTTTAATGAAAACAAAACATGTTTCGTCAGTTGTATAATGAGAAATAGAATGAAATTATACAATGAATATTATAACAAAGTGAGATATTAACAAGAATAACAAAAAAAAAAGTGAAACTATATAAGCTAAGAAGGGAGACTAATTAGTATGAAAGGGATAAATTAAGATGTTTAAGATGGATGTGGATATAACTATGGAAAAATGCTTCCACAAGCTGCTCCCACAAGCTACTTCCAGAATCTGCTTCCACAGCTGCTTCCACAGTCTGCTTCCACAGCTGCCCCCACACGCTTCCAATTGAAAATTATGGAAGCCATGCACATCCTTTGGGAGCAGCCGTCTTTAAATTCCCAGTCCAAACATCTTAATTTATCCCTTTCATACTAATTAGTCTCCCTTCTTAGCTTAAATAGTTTCATATTTTTTGTTATTCTTGTTAACATCTCACTTTGTTCTACTATTTATTGCAAAATTTCATTTTATTCTCATTATACAACTGACGATGGATGATGTTTCATCCGAAACATGTTTCTTTTTTCATTAAAAAGATATATATATAAAAAAAAAGTGATCTTCAAAAGCATCGTGTGGTTCATCAAAGCTATATGTATTAGTTATGATGTCACGAAAGTTATGTAATAAAAATAAAATAGAAGAAATCGATAACAGTTGCCTTGATCACACATCAGGATAACTTACGTTAATAAAAATTGGTGAGCGTGTTCGATCCTCAGAGATGGACGGCAACTGATCAAACAATTCCAAGAACCACAATCGCGAACCTGCTGTTAAGAGCGTGTCCACGAGAGCACCGGGCAGTCGTGCTACATGCCATCTCACCGATTTCAATGAAACTTTGCCAGTTTAAAGTAGCTACCATAAAACTAAAGAAGACAAAGTGGTTTCTGTTTTGGTTTTTTCCGGGGGGGGAGATAGACCACCCCCGTCGGTTTTTCTTGGTTTTCACCAAGGAAATCGCCTCAAAAAAAGTAAAATTTATGAAGCTCTCACTGGTATTTAACCAATTAATCTGAGAGTTTTCACACATATTATTTAATCCTTAGTTAATGTCCAACGCAAGTATCAGTCAATTTGATTGACGGCTTGTCAATCAACAGAGGTAAATAAACAACTGTGTTTTTAGACTTTTCGATTCCTCCAAATATTTGACAACTTTGAGGTTAAATATCTCCCCTTGCCAGAGAGCTACAACACTAACCTTAATTCCCCTTTATAACCCATCATTTCATCTCTAAAAACCATCAAAAACATCTTTGGGCGCTACCGTATTTTTGTCTTGGTTGCCTTTTAAAATCTGCGATTGTGATAAGTTTCTCTTAACTACACGAAATTCTGGCTCTAACCGGTCACTTAACCAAATAGACCTACATTTTTTAGCTCTTCATACAAGGTGATTGATCAAGAAAGCTAAAAAATGTGAAAAAATTTCGAGGTCTTTCGTAGGAATGGAAAATTTCACATTTAGAGAGATGCATGCTGGCGAAAAATCGATGGGAAAATCGTAGCGTTTCTTTCTTCTGTCGTTTATTACTTTGAAGATTTGCTAAAGTTGGCAAATAGGGCTCTTGTACAGAACAAAACATTCATCAGTCTGTAATTTGATTGTTTATTATCATTATAGCACAGTTCACAATAAGGAAACTGTAACAGGAGTGTAGATTTTAAAGTCGCATGTCGCGTGCTTGTTGACTTTCAAGTTCCCGTGTTTCATAGCTTCAGCTTTTCCAGACCGCGGATGACGAGAAACTCTGCCCCACTCAATTGAAAGGAAATATCAATAGCCCCATAAAATTCATTAACTCCGCCATATTTCCAGAAAATAAGACTGCAAAGTTTTTTTTCCACTTTCCACCATCAAGAAATTCCACGCAGAAATGGTATTTGTAGCATGACTGCGTGACCTTTGACTAGAAATAAAAATTGTTTATCTTTTTTTTACGAGAAAACACTTCTACAAAGTTCTTAATCCTTCTGTTATTTTATTTGCCTGTTTTCTGACTGCAAATATCGTCAGCATTTGCTATTATTTTTTCTGATTTTCATGGCCCTTTCCTGCGTACGTGCGAGCCAGTTGGTATACTGAGCTGCCTTTCGAGTTTCTTTGCGTGGTGTCGGGCCTAGGTGTGTAGGTCTGGCACGAAAGATATCTACAAGCTGCACCACGGTATTTTCCCCTTTTTCTTTATTTGTATTTTTATTCTCTTTCTTGCATTATCACACATGTGTGTTATTTTAATTCCCTCAGCGCGTTCCCTCAGATTTGGAGGACGGCTATGAAAAGTCAATATTGACCAGAACTCAAACCTTTGCTATCACTATTTGTTTTAAAGAACCCCTGTTCTTTATAACTTTATTTCTCAAGATAACGTGTCTTTATCTGCTATTTATTTCCATTAGAACATGAAACTAGGTCCCGATAAGTTTTTGTTTCGTGACTCCCAAAAACTGTCTTTGCGACAGCATCAATTGAGAAATCAAAAGCAATTACGCCCTTCTAACTGCAGAAGGCAAATCCATGTAATGAGGCGTTCTACGACCTCTGTAAACTAGAGACATGACGTGGACGAGGATGTAATGTGTGGAGGGGTCAAATATTTATACAAAAAATCTGTGACCCTCAAACGGATCACATACTCGTACATGTAACGTCCGAAAAATGTCACGCATGTACAATACCGCAGGCGCACCTGGCGAATTCTTTCCACTGGCTTCAATAGTAAAGAGACAACTTATTTACTATTTGTATATGAGCAAGCTTATTTACCCTATTTGTAAAACTCCTTGATGAAGTCTACTATTGTCAGACGAAACGCGTGGGAGATAAATACAAGTTTTTACTTTCTCAGTTCGCGCGGTGATGCTCACTTGTTTGTTCCGTCAAAAACGCTTTAACGTGAAGTCATGTCGACCTCGACTGAAAAATTAAGCTCACCTTGTCATAATCAATGTTTTGATACTGTAAGTACCAATTAAGGTAAATCATTGCGCTTTGATCACAATAATGAAAAAAATGTGCGTTTTCTCACGCTCACCACATTTATTCTTTGGGAAATTATTTTACTGGAGGGCGATGTCGCTTAGCTTGGCACGTCTTGACTCTAATCGACGAAAATTATCGAGGTGAGTCCCATGAAATTCTTGTCAAATGTTTTAAAAACTTTGTCTACCCTTGGTTTGCACGCAGAAAAAAAGACAAATTCTCCACGGTATTTCAAACTATTTTATTTATTAGTCAATTTATGAACTGTTTTATAACAGCCCGAGGAAAAAGCAAGATGGAAACAACTGGCGTATCGGTCAAACGAATTCCAATTTTTTTCAACAAGGAGTTTCTAAGTTCCTTTTTCCTAGTTAATTTAAGAGGAGGTCAATGTTTTGTGACAGCCGAAGATAGACATCTCTGAAACGTCTCTGAAACTCTTAAAGGGTTTACACTTCCAGTAATATTTTCCTCTCTCTCGCAACAGCGCAACAGACATTGTTAATCCTATGTAGTGTGTGTGTATCAGTTGTACTACGTCTTCATAGTGATGCCATATAAGTAATCGAGTGTCTAAAAAGCCCTCAATTCAACCTAAAACTTGAATTGATAGAGTCAAGATGGTTCATTTGCACCTAACTGTAAAAACCAACTTACTTTTCTCGCACTGACCAGAGACGGAAACAGCTCATACCCATAAATTCGTGAGTGCACAGCATGAAAAAAAAACATTCGAGAGACCTCAATGTATCCCAAACATGCGTTTCGTCCGAGAAGAAGCTTATTCTAGCTCATATTGGCTTATTTGGAGATTACGAAGGCCTCGATTTCACTATATACCTCAAATATCGTGCACAACTTGGTGTCAGATTCAGACCTTCGGGTTCGTAAATGCCAGTATCCTCCTCATAAAAAATCGGAAACGTAAAGTTGAGAGAGAGGTAAACCTGAAGACGGCAGAAGAAATCAAAGGTGGCGGCGAGTCTTCCTGGTGGCAAGGTGACTGTAAACCTAATAGAACGCGTACTGTAATTGCTATCTTAGAGTCGGCAAGGAGTAAGTAAGAAGGGCAATAAGAGCGCTTATCTGAACATCAGTTTTCCTAACTGGTGATATGTGACTGAGATGAACTTTGTATCATATGATTGCTACGCAGATACTGTAGAGGCGCTCACATAAATAGAGGCGGACGATCCTCCCTCTAACTTAAGAACTGCGACAAGTTTATAGCGCAGACCAACTGGCACAGTTTGGAGGCTCATCACATTAGAAACCTTCAGCAAACTAATCGTAGAAGTGGGTGGTTATCAGCAACATGCATAGATCTCTGAACGCGGGTCATCGCGAGAACTATACCCAATCCGTCACAGACGGAACAAGAAAGCGAGATATTCTTGCTAAGAGGAAGGATGTATTAAGACGTTTCATTCGTTGTCATTCACTGCCATCCAGAAGAACCTTAACAAAGGCAAACACAAGGTGAAGCTGACAAAAAAATCCGCCTATAATAAGATCAAGAGGAAATGGACGAAGACTTGCCATTCTGTAGGGGGTGGCTACGTTCAAGGTCGGACCTCAAGTAAAATTTTGACGAACAATCCCTAACTAGCCGGGTGAACTTTGGATGGGCTCTTTGGAAAACACAAAAAGCAGCCGCCTTTTCTCAGATAGCAAAGAATTATCTCCTAGACGTGTGCTGGATATGGGAGGAAACTAGTAAGGCAACCGCCTCTAATGCGGCCAAATATCGAGTTTAGGAGACGACACCGGCCAGAAATGCTGTCTAAGACTGACTGGTTGATAGAGCAGCAAATCGCTCGATACTTCAGCCGGTTACCTGCCGTAACAAAAATTGGTTATTGACGAAGTCCCCCTCTGTAAGTATGAATGAGGACGAAGAGGCCGATGCCGATGATCTAGCTTCAGAAATCGAAATTGACCGAACAAGGCAGAAGATAAGGAGAGACCTTGCAAAATTTAGACGAAGGCTGCAGGAGAGGGTACAGATACTATCAAGCTAAAAAAATAAGGACCTTTGCATCTCACTTTTCTTTCATATTTATTGTCATTGCTCACGAAAACAACTGACTATGTCCTGGGATTTTTTCATCGAGGGAAATTTGCAGGAAGCCCACTGGTCAAAATACTGCTAGCTCATTCTTACTATCTTTTACAAGTCACGCAATTAAACGCCGGCAACAATCAAATTATAGACTAATGAATGCTTTGTGCCGTAAAAAAGCCATATTTGCTGATTTTAGCAAATCTCCAAAGTAATAAACGACAGAAGAAAGAAACGATACGATTTTCCCTCATCACATGCATCTCTCTAAACGTGAAATTTTCCATTCCTACGAAAAATCTCGAAATTTTTTTCACATTTTTTAGCTTTCTTGATCAATCACCTTGTATGAAGAGCTAAAAAATGTAGGTTTATTCGGTCAAGTGACCGGCTACAGCCAGAATTGCGTGACAGGTGTAGTTGAGAGAAACTTGTCACAGTCGCAGATTTTAAAAGGCATCCAAGACAAAAATACGGGTAGTGCTCATAGATTTTTTTTATGGTTTTCAGAGATGAAATGATGGATTATAGAGGGGAATTAAGATTGGTGTTGTAGCTCTCTGGCAAGGGGAGATAATTGACCTCAAAGTTGTCAAACGTTTGGATGAATCGAAAAGTCTAAAAACACAGTCGTTTATTTACCTCTGCTGATTGACAAGCCGTCAATCAAATTGACTGATACTTGTATCGGACATTTACTAAGGATGTAATAATATGTGTGCAAGAGTGATTGATTAGATACCATCTTAGTGAGAGCTTCATACATTTTACCTATTTTGAGGCGATTTCCTTAGTAAAAGCCAAGAAAAACCGGGGGGTGGACTATCTCCCCCCGGAAAAAAGCAAAGCAGAAACCACTTTGTCTTTTCGAATTTTGGGGTAGACCCTTAAAACTGGAAAAGTTTCATTGAAATCGGTGAGATGGCATGTAGCACGACTGCCCGGTGCTCTCGTGGACACGCTCTTGATACTAGCTTCAAGCTCCATCGACTAATTTTTTCAATCAGGTATTTTGACTCAAGAAACCAATGCCAACCTTACGCAATTCGGTTACCAATACCTTAGTGCTCTTTACGTGAAGACTTTGGAATCTGCAGGGGCTCGAGCTGTTCCAGTTTTGTATCCTTTTCACCTCATAAAGTAATTTGACGATTTCTCTGCTCCTGTGTCACTTCAAGCTGCAGAAAACACTATTCCCCTTCGGAAACTACTTTAATAACCCCTCTGAAATTCACGAGAAATAATATTTAAATAATAAATATATACAGATGTTAACTTGACTAAAGAAAAAACTTTCTTTCGGTCGTAAAAGACAATGCATTTTTTCACTTGCCAGTCGGCCGCTTATTGTTAAAATCTTAAGGAAAAACTGTCAGAATAATGGAATGCCTCGTGGTGTTATCTGTTTATTTTCTTTTTAAGATACAGAAATTAACGACAACTAAAGATAGCCTTTTTCCTTATTAGTACATTTTGTCTGTCTTATTCACGATGCAAATGAAATTTGCCAGTGCGATTGTACCTGTCATTTGACACTGAGGCACAACAAAAAATCCATCGATGCACGATATGGGAAGGTTCTTGTGGAAGTCTTGTGGAAGTATAATATTTCCTTGGTTTAATGTCCGGATCGTAATGTATGTCTTAATTTCTTTCTTGACTAAATGCACAGTGTCAATTCCAGCACACCGGAAATAGAAAATATGTTTCATTCTTTAAATGGGTAAGTAAGCAATGACGTGTAGATGGAACTTGGCAACATTACCTTTTATCGAACAGGCATCAGTTAAAGATTAAAAGGGCTTTTTTTCTCCGAAAATGGAGGTTCGAACTCTGAATATTTCTCTGATAAAAAGTAAGTTAACCTGCCAGTTTCTTTGACCGAAATTACTATTGTTAAACATATCGCTTGTCTTCGAAATCAAGACACTCTCAAAAAATTGAGACAAACTTATCTCTAATTTTGTGTTCTTGCCGAAACAACAGACTTACTCTATGTGGGAGGGATTAAGATAGCGTCTACCCCAGCCGAGTCACTTCGCCTTCAAGTGCAGTCACGTCGGCCCTTGTTGGATCGACTAAAATCTTTGATGATCTATCGTGGTGTCCGTATTCTACTTATTTTTGAGAATTTCTCACCGTCATGGTAGGTTGTGATTCAAATCTTAATCTTATGTCGTAAACAACACAAAGAGAGTTTAAAAAGTTTCTCAAGCCTGGAGGATTTTCAATACGCCGCCATGAAAATGACATTGGCGTCGAATATTTGGTCACAGGCTAACGTAGGTGTGATGTGACCACGCTTGTGGGCCACGTTACTCGGCTCAGGGGTGACAACTGACGTGACTCGTTGCCATTGTAACAGGGGGCATAATGAAAGAGGAATGATGTCTATCACAATTTCTTCGTTCAGCATACAAAACAAAGCTCCAACCTGTTTATTATGACCTCTTAGCCTTTCTTGATGAGGGTGATATGAAATCTTAAGAAGTCGCTTGTTCCCAACTCAAGAAATTTGAAAGCTTTCCTTTAACAGTACATAAGCGTTATAGATCAATTTTGTTCGGTCGAGATGGCTGGACATTGGCCGAGTTTTTTTTGTGTGTGTGTTGCGCTTTTATGGACCGAGACGCATAAAAACACAGAAAAGAACGAGGCTAATATCCAGGCATCTTGACCGGGCAAACTCGTCAATAAAAGATTTATGATATAGCAAAACGATTTCGCTGTAATAGGAAACAAGAATGACTTGTTTATTTCGAGAACTGGGAAAGAAAGCCAACTGTATTTGTAGCACATTAAATTCACGAGAATGGTTTTACTGTCTTCTGCCGCTTTTTGCCGATATTTTCCTAAATTAACGAATTTTGGGAGTACGCTCCAGGGTACTTTGTTTTCTTGCGCAGGATCAATGCGGGCGGTCCCGAACGGGAAAGATGCGCACATCTTACCCACACGGGTGGCCAATCAGAACTCAAGATTTGCTTCATATCGCCGATGGGCGCTGCCAGCTATATAATATTTATGATTATGATTGCAATAATTCCTTTTTGTCTCAGTTAAGTGTTAAGATAAATTTTTCTTTTGGGGTGGGAGGGGGGTAGGAGGTTTCAGAGGACAGTGACTCTCTTAAACCCATGCTTTGATTTCGATTTGTAAGGTTGATCTTTCCGGGAGGCCATGTGAAGTTAAATATATCTAGATACACAACAGTCGGAAGGAAGTTCCTAGACCTTGCTGTTAAGGTTTGTTGCTGATATGTTCCTTTGCCGTCATATTTTTCAATCAGTTAAGAATAATACAATCGTGTGATCGGCAAGTTTCTATGTAAGAATTTAACAAAAAGCTTAAAGACTTATTCGGATTAATCAAGGGTGCGGCAAGTGCCTTGGCGGTCAGTTGTCAAAAATACTTCTCTATCATTTTTTGCCAGGCCTACGATGAAACAGGAGACGTATTTCCAATATGGGCCGAGTGCCTAGGATTTGAATTGATTGCTCTTATAGTTAGTGGAAGGGACTTAAAGTTTGGTCAATACGACCAGTCGTTCCTCAGCCTCACAGATGCAAGAAACATCAGTTTAAAGCTTATTTTATCTCCAGGTAACTCAAATCCCAATAGAAAAGACATGAAATGGCACGCATCAAACTGGTCAGGAAATATTGTTTTGAAAGGCTATTTAGTGGCCTATTTAGTGACAAGTGCTCTAATGGCCTGCTCATAAGATAACTTTCATTAGGAGTGGTCTTAATTTAGTATGTTATCTTCACTTTGTAAGTCACGAACTCTTAAAGCCGCGTCATGTAAATTGTACATGACGAGTTGAATTGTCCACTGTCCTTAACGATCACCCTAACTCAAACAAGATGAGCATTTAATACGAGCAAGATCGATAGCGTTTGTTTATCGGAAATTGATAGAATGTTTTCTTTAAAAAGAAATTAACACTGTTTCCTCCTAATCTAATTAGACTCACAGTCCACATTTTCATACTTTCCACCCTTTCATTTTGTCGAACAACATCGAGTAGCTACGATATGTGAATCAAACTAATTTTAAAGCGTTTCCAATACATCGTTTGGTCATGTTGTTATATTCTAAATTGTCAGGATCAGTAAGCTTACTAGTTCTTCAAAACGTATTCAAACCGTTTAATAAAGGGGGTAAGTTTCCCAAAGAAAGTGTGGTCCTGCATCGGTGGGGTTATAAGCAAGGTATTCGGCTTTATCGACCGAGTAGATAACGTAAATTGGCCACTGTGAAAGTTTCTAAATCTCACGTTTCGATCGTCAGCCCCTCGTTTTCATGGCCTAGTTTGCACGACTAACTTCGATGGTCGGTCAAATACGAACAAAAAAAAATTTGAATCTTCTCTTTATGAGTGCTGATACTATTTCTTGCAGACTTTAAGTCAACGAAACTGTTAGGGTCTGCCCCTGATAATATCATAAAGTACATGACACAAAATGATATCAATTACAACAATCACAATAGAGGTTTGACGCCCGAGGTAAGCAGATTGCTGTATTCGCCTCGTTCTTTCTTCTGTCGAAACAAAAGAGACTTCTGTGAGGGCTTCTGCAAAATTAGATGTAAGAGTTAAATGATTGCAATGTTCTTTTCATCACCAATTAGTATATTGAGTTACTGAAACCGTTTTCCCGTCTGGCAGAAAAAGAAACGATGGGAAGTTAAAATTCTCGTCGTATGTTTGCATAACAAGAGTACTTCATGTACAGAAAGAAAAAAGGTATCAAACCTCCCCTTAAAATGACCTTTAAAACCTATCTTTTCATCCTTTGCGACTCACATTATCTCCTTGATTTCCCTACCATCATGCACTGATGATCAGAATGAAGATATGCGGTTTTAGAGTTACAGGTTTCTTTTCACACGTGCTTGTTGTTTTTTGACATTTGCCCAGGTATTCCATAAAGATGAAAAGTTGAGTGAGTTTTTTAAAATAGTTTCCACGAGTAATGACAGGAAAGGAAAGCCGTTTATCTCTACTATGGAAGGTAATCTCCCGAAATCATCATTTTTTCTTCGCCTTCAATGAAAGAAAGGCCGGCTCATAATCTAGAACAACAGCAGATCAGATGGGCAGTTATGTAACATTCATCACTTTTCACCAACAACCATCGCCTTCTTTTTCAGCTCTTAAATATCCTATTTACAGTTTTCAGTGGCATCCGGCGAAGCCTCTGTTTGAGTGGACAACACTAAAAGACATCAGACATACAGAGGAGGCTGTTCTGATAGCACAATATTTCGCAGACTTTTTTGTAAATCAAGGTAAATTGTTATCTTTGTAATGGCGATATACGTTGATTGGTCGTTATACTCATACTTTTGTTAATGTGACAAACCAGCAAGTTAGGAAACCTTCAGCAGCTTGAACCGAGGCAAATTTGGTATCGATAACTGAAGTTAAGGTAGAGTGGGTTGGTAACTTGCCCCTTTTTTCAAATTCTTACTCTGTCATACACAATGAAGCAATCCAAGAATTCCTCATTAGAATTCGATGCTTAAAGTAAATGTATTACATATTAAACGAATTATGAAATTAAATTGTCATTGATTTCACTATACTTTAATTTAGTGGAATCTCAAAATGAGGGTGCTCGTGGCTAGCTTCTTTCCTTAGACGTTTTCATGGTTCATTGTTATTTCTTTAACTAAACTTAAAAACTGAGGCGTGCTTATGATCCACTTTGTTACTCCATTCCCTAATATTCTGATTTCTACCTAGCGTTGATAAACTATACCTTTCTTTCTTTCAAAATCATCAATTTGGTTACAGCTCGTTTAAGTGACCATCGATTCCCGAGCACAGAAGAGGAGAAAAAGGCATTGATTTACAACTATACACCAACATACACTGGAGATGTCGTATCAGTGTTACAGATGTACTTTTGGTGATAAAGAGCCTCCTTGAAATAACTGAAGTATGCTGATCCTTTTTATGCCGGAGGCATTTTTTATGCTGTGTATTTTCGAATTTACGGGTACAAGATGTGTGGAAAGCAGAAGTTGAGAAGTTTGGCCACTTGCTATGAGCTTTTGAACTACCTTCTTGGATAGGCTAATGTCACCTTCCATTCTAAATTTCAATATTAGCTTGCAAGGGAAGCTCATACACTGAACCGAACTATTTATATATAAAGCAGCTTGCATGGCATCTGTCTCGAACAGTAAATCTATAAACATAGATAGACCTTTTACTCTGGTAGTTCAAATAAAACGTCTTTTTTTTTTCTAGCCAAACAAAGCCAGAAGCCCATTTCCATGAAAGAGTATTTAATAACTGTGTTCATTAAATAGATTTTAAACAATTTTTGAATACCTTAAATTCTTTGAAATCGTTGTACTTTTGCTTTCGAAGACAATACAAGTTACAAACGCTTCCTGTTGTTTTTCGTTGTTGCTGTTATTGTTACTGCTACTGTTGGCATGTTAACTCCACCGATTTATGATCATTTATTTTTTGAAGAAAGAAGGATGTATCGTTTTTGGAGCTGAACCTACTTTGTAAGGTTTTCGGAGGAAGCATTAAAAACCAGAATTATGTTTATACGTTATACGTTTATACATTTATACGTTAAAAATTAATATTATCAAGAACATATAAAAAGTTGTATCTGTGTAATAATTACATGCAAAATCACTATTTGTATGCCGCGAAGCTGAGGTGGAGACAGCATCGAATCTAAAAGGGTATTCGATAACTTAAGTCCTTGTTACTCAGATGCGAAACTCCCAGTTCTTTAAAATTGACCATGCACTACAAAACAGAACCTCTATTTGTAATAGAGTCTTTCATGAATCTGCTTTGGAACCTTGGTACCGCCAAGCAATCCTTGCCGCGTAACGAATAGCCTTAACATCCTGATATCCTGACATCCTTTGGTGTAAATGTCTCCATACATGAACTACGCGTTGCATTACCGCTGTACAAACGCAGGCGTCATTAACCTTAACGACCGAAATTGAAAGATTGTTTATATCGACTGATATAAATACAGTTCTTACTTAGTCCCGGTACGTGAAGTAAAGATGCCAGCCAAAAAGAAAGGTAAGAAGAAGGCAAAAGGAAGTAGCAGAGGTGAAAAGGAAGAGGAAGAAGGAGGAGGAAAGCCTGAACCTACGGGAAAAGAGCAAGAACTGAGAAGAGAGTGAGTAAGCTTTCTAACTCAGCCTTATTTTTATGGGAAACGTGTTACAGCAATGTATAAAGAAAGCGTTATATACTTAGAAAAAGAAAAGTAGTGATTTTTCAGGCAATTAAAACCACCAGTTCAAATAAGCCTTTGTTATTATCCATGTTATGTCTGTCAGTATGATATCCTGGACAATATTATGCGTCTCTAGCTAAATTGTGAAATTGCAAGGACTAGATAATGGATTGAAGGTTGTGCTGCAAATATACTATGATTCTCGTGGCAAAGGGGAGATATTTATCATACTATGTCTGTACTTCAGTTTTGAGTAAACTGGGTCAACTAATTATGTTTTCTTAATCTGTAGACTGGAAGTTTTAACAGAAAAATTATCAAATCTTAAGCGAGAGGTTGAAGGACTGTATCTTTTCGAATGGGCAAGGTTTTCTTTGTTATGATCGGATGATTGAATATTTTATTTATGACCATTCACCGCCCATTCACTTGATTTCGCTGTATTTGAATCTGTTATCGTAACTGCATGCACTAGACCTGGTCATGTTGGGTTTCGCTCCCATGTTGCAGTACGTAAACGAGTGTGCTTCTTTGGTTTTTAGACTAGATCTTTTTTACTAACCTCAACAAGACGAGACCGTAGCCTGTAATGTACGAACCATTTGTGATTGTAAGGATTACTAAGACTGATGGAAACCATGCTTCAAAGCTTCTAAGTCCCTTGCACTACTCATAATAATGTGCACTTTTATCATAAAAAGTTTTGCCATACTTATCTTGAATTTACACAAAGCTTGTAAGGAAATTTTTGGGTTTCAGATCTGAAGAAAAGGGTTCTTAGTAGCTAACTGATTCAGAGTGGGGTCCAAATATTGTATGATAAAGAGCCCGAAATTAATCGATATTCACAGCTTGTCCTTGGAGAAAAACACAAAAATGAAACACTTTCAATTATCATCAGTTCATGAAAACTATTCTTCTATAAAAAGCAATGTTGCTTTAACTAATAAGGCATATCCTTCTCTGTAGTCTGCATATTCACAATAGGTATTTTAATTTAATTAAAACTACATTTTCTCAGCTGAGGGTGTTAGATGAAGACATTGACAAATTTAATTTTGATATAGGTATGTTGAAGTATATAAATCATAGCATCCCCTAGGGTCCATAAATACGTTACTAGGAAAGCTAGCAGATGTATATGTTTTTTTAACAATCCTCTTTTTTAAGTTATTTACCAATCATTAAGTGTTATAAGCAAAAGATTCTCTATTGGTACTGGTACCCTTGGTCTTGCCTCATAATGAGAATTCTGGAGATACTTTTGAATGCGAGAACAATAGATCTTTAAGCTACACTTTTTTGTGTTGAGAACTGGAGAATCTTTCAGGAAAAATTTTAATGACAGTTGAAATATTAGCAAAATAAGTTTCTTAACACTTAAATCAGACGGAAGGAAAACGAATGGCTCCAGGAAGAGGCTCAACAAACTCGACTGGAAAGTGTGAGTAAAAAAGATGTGATTGTTTAAAATGCTCAACTGGCAGATATGATTGTGTAAACATGGTTTTCATGTGAGGGTAGTTGCTCAGGTGGAAGGTGTTTTTTTTCATCATATACATGATGAAATAACATTTGCTTCTGTACCAGTACATGTTAGTCCTATTTTCAGAGATTGGACATTTTTTGACATGGATCATTACTAAGTTTTGTTCTACCTAAAATTACTGCTTTGGTGTTTTGTACCAATTTAATGCTACCACTAACAACTGAAATAAGTCTTGTTTGAATGTAAAGCATGAGTACATGTCCTACATGGCTAAAAAGACACAGAAGAGACAAACAACAATAATATCACTGAGTGACAGCAATCAGCAAGAATTGGAGAACATCAAGCAGCAGAGAGAGCAGATGTTAAATGAATATCAAGAGAAGAAACAAGGTACAACTTTCTACTTAGAGCTCACACGCTTCAGTGAGATATAATGTCAGTGATTGTTACTTTGATCACCTGAGAAAGAATCATTGTCAGGTTTTGTAAAAGTTGTTGGTAAATTGAAATTACACCAACAACATGTTGTATGAAGCTCAATGAAACTGAACAGCCACCTTTACTAGCTGCTATGATTTACTGGTACTGTAGATAAGACACACCAAGATGTATATATATATATGTACATACCGTAATTATGTACACCATGTGCTGCCAGGGTTTCCAAATAGTCTGATTACTGCAACATGTTTAGATTTTTAATTCTTTCCAGCCAATTGGTTCACAAGATTCATTTGGGAGGTTAGAACTGTTCTGTTTAAACACACTCTGGTTTACTCATCTAAAAATCTATTATATAATAATTTTACCCTCATGACAAAGGGTATAATTACAACCTCCCACATGAATCTTGTGATCTGAATTATGTGGGAATTACATAAGCTGATTTCATCCATTGGGACTTTGCCTTACAAGAGTTGGTGTTGTAGACACAATTCCCATGGGAAATGAAACTTGGTTCTAAGAGGTGGCCAATCTTTGAGACCCTGTTGGCATCCTTGAAATTAATCAAACTCCATTTTAAAAAAATCAGATAAATGTTATTGAACACATTGTCACACAAAAGTTTCCTCACAATATTATAATGTGAGCAACAAGGTGCCACAGATGCAGTTTGAACTATTTTTATTGTGCAAATTTTTCTATAAGTGTTTTCAGATGATTACTGATAACTCATTTGTTCAAGGTTTCTTAACTGGATACCTGATTCCTGATCAGTGTCACACAGGGGTGCAGATGTCATAAATGTGTACCCATAAATGTGTACAGGGAGGGAATTTCCTTGGGGAGAGTGACTAAGTTAACTATATCCATAGCACAGTGACAACAATTGGTGAGTTTCTTATCACAGCTTTGAAGCAACTGATGCTTGAGAAAGAGGCTGAACTTGCCCTGACAAATAATGAACTGGCTGAATTGGAAGAGTATCAGGTAATAGTCTGTTATGCAGTAACTCAACAACTAATCGCTACTGATGCTTGAAAAACATCATGCATTAAATAGAATGTTACAATAAAACAATACAATTTCTGTCTGCACATATGCTCTAGGCCTGAGGCACAATCAGGGAAGGGCCCAAAATATATTTATGCCTAAGAACATATACTGTATTTCTATTATTTTATACTTTGGAGGGCAACAAAAAATGACAACAAAAAATGATAAAAAAATAGTCTCAACAATCACACCTATGTATGTGCAAGCTAATATACATTTTACAGTGCCAAATTCTCCATTTTTGCATGCAAAATGGACCACAATTGCAGAGAAAGTGATAATAATTGGAAAGCTTCCACCCTGCACTAGCATTACTTTGTAAAACTTTGGGAATTATTATTTTGTCAAATTTTGGGGCAATGTAAGCAAAGGATTGTGTTTTTTGGGAGCAGTTAGATGGACAATGAATGTGAGCTCCAGCTTTGCCATGTATCAATTTTATGAGATCAAATCTTCTCTAATTAAGTTGAACTCTAACAGTATTTGGTGTTGGTCTATTTTTTTTTTTTTTGTATTTATATTCTGATTAACCTCAAATTGTGCAACACAAGAAAATAAAAATTTCTAAACCAAGGTAAATCTTGAACAAGACATATATAGTTGTAGTTTATGCTCACTCTCATTATTGCAATTGATGAAAAAAATTTCCTGTATATACAAAGACTCTTCAGCGTGATCAAAAGGCAGAGATTGCACATCTGGAGCAGGAAGTTCACATGATGAGAGGAAAACACTCAGAAGCAATACAAAAGCTTAAATCACAGTTTTTACGAGAGAAAAGAAGCTATCAAAGGGAATCAGATGATAAAATTCAAGAAATGGCGCAACAAGCCTCACAGGTTAGAGAACCACAGCAAGTGTGCCATAGCTACTTTAAAAGGATTTTTTTCCTCTTTTGTTTACCAGCAGGTTGGTCTTATCTGATGGCGAATTCAATGTTGTACTGACAGATTTAATCAAAAGTGATCCTCCAAAAATGGAACAAAACTTAGTTAAAAATCAGCACCCACTTTGAACCTAGGGTTAAATGACTGTCAAGGAAAAGGAGTTTGTCCTTTTTAAATTTTAAGTTATCAGTGGAACTTAAATTCTTTTAGACAGGCTATGATGCTTCAAATTCATGTGCATTGATAACTGAAAGTGATTCTTTGCCTGCATGAGATTTTTGCAATCTTAAGCATGCTGTTCCAAGCTGTAAAGGGAATGGACTAAAATTTGACTTCATGATTCCTAAGTCATCAAAAGAAGCAGTGAAATAATTCCAGGTCATCACAGCTGGATAACAATTACATATATAAATCAAGTGTTTAATACTTTTTTTGTTTTTGACTTTTTTCCATGTCAAGGAGGCAAAACAGTGTTTAGATGAGCACACGCACAGGATCAAAGACGAAAACCGATTGTTGCGGAAGGAACTGTTACAGCTAATCAGAAGAACACGGGCCCTTCATGAACATCGCCAAGAACTTGAAGAACAACATAAAACACTTTTGCGTGAAGTACAATACAGTAGAGACCTGAAGAAACTCAGGGGTTCGAGGCAAAACAGGCTTCACCAGAACTTTGGAATAAGTACAGAACAGGGTCCGCAATAAGAGCATAATTGACCATAAAAGGACAAACATGTTCTGTCCATTTTGTGGTTGGGACCAGGTAGAAAATGGGTTGAGAACGCCACTTCAAAACTTATTTATTCCCTTGTGAAATGTTTTTGCAGTTTGTTTTGGGTTGTAGTGACCATTTTTGGAAAAGATCCTTGTTTCAATGAAAAGTTTGGAAAATCATGTGACAAACTTACATTGAAAATGTTACTTACTGCATTAAAGATGTCATGATTTTTGCTCATAATAAACCTAATAAACCTAGGGTACAAGTACTGCTTGACTGCAATGAAAATCGTTCAAACTAAGTGGATTGTAAAGAACCTAGTGATTTGTCAGCAGGTAAGTGAAACACTCAATGGCCCCCATTTGATAAATAACAATAATTGAACTAAGTGGAAACTGTAAGTATGATTTCAGACCAAACTTGCTTGACATGTTGTTTATTTGCTGCTTTATTACATCCATTTTCAAACTGAGAAATTTAATTGTCCAGATACACAATTTTAGTCAACATGAATATTTTAATTACCCAGTACTGGGCTGGTTTTATCAAGAGCAGAATTTCTCTACTTTGTCCTTCTCCTTGCTGCAAGTTTATTGGCCTTGACATCTGATTTATTGTTTCATTTGATTGCTCTACTCTTATTACTTGGGAAAAAAAATTTGATTCAGAGCAAAATTATTATGTGATTTAAGAATCATCACAATGCTGAGGGCTAATCAGATTGCAAGGATTAAAGGTGATATAAAAATGGACATAATGGAGGTAAGTAAATCAGAGTAGAAATTTTTGGAAGGTGATACTTCAATTATTTATCAGTATTTCATCTAAGCAAAATCATTTGCAACTTTTATCCTTGAACATTGACAACATTTAAGATTTTAATGTCAATGCCTGCAACCTATTCTAGTTGTGTCACACTATTGTCAATTTATTATTGGTCTGTTTTGGATGACACAATTCATGTCAGTAGTATTTTTGGCTGATTGTCTGCAGTTATAATTTAATATCGCAAGGGAAACATGCTATCACACGATGGAAATCAGCCACACGGAAGATCTTTGGTGTCAAATAATAATAATAATAATTATAAAAAACAAAATAGGAAAAAGAATTTTAAAAACAAGTGTGCCCAGTTTGGCTATACCTGGATGATGAAGTAAACAACCTTAGGTTTTAGATAACTTTTCCCATAAGTGACCACTGCAAGGACATATCCAAACACAAGAGCCTCCTAGCAGGCTGAACAGAAGGCAGTAATGGATCATGTAGGGGGGAAGTAGATTGCCACTATCTGGCTTATATTAAAACTTATGCTTTACAGATTCAGTTTTGGTGGTGTGTTATACACCTATGTTGTTGCATGTTCCTGGGCCTTCCCTTAAGTGTGGTGCATGATGAAGTTTCACCAGGTATAAGTGGTTACCATCCTCTATGTTGCCTTTGAATGTTTGAGCCCTTTTTCTTTGACCTTCTTTTTCTTGGGTGTCTCCTGACTTTCATCATTGGTTGTGGTCCTTTTTCTTTTAGTCAAAGTTCTGTTGTTGAACATTTCAGGGGCATACCTTTGTCCCACAACATGAGTCCAAAGGCACAGCTCAATCTTATGTTCATTCCACTCTCCTTTGGGGTCTGACAAAAGAAAAAGTTATTTTGTCAATACTGCTTCATAACCTTGGTTTTTGCTTCTTTTGGTAGTAAGTATCATTGCTTCCTTGAAATAATGCAAACCTGATGCAAATCCCTGACTACTTACTGCTCTATCCCCAGGCAGAAAATAGGACCATTTGCCCACTTTTTGCCAACCTTGTTCCATAAGAAGAATTAAATTAAGGCTTAAGTAGTGACACTGTAACTGTTTTAATGATCTACTGTTGTTGTGCCAATCTGGGAAAAGAAGCCTGCGATTCTAATAATCATTATAAGGTTGTTTGGGATGTAAGCCACAACTTATAAACATCATAATTAAGCATAAATGTCTGTGGGTTATTTAGTGTTTCACTATACGGTAAGCTGCAGTTAGTGACTTGAAGTAACAGGTGTACTTACCCTTTTTCAATAAGTTTTTAAGGCAACTTCTTATTTTGTCAAGATATTGGAGATAGAACTTGAGTGTGTAATCAATTTTTCCAAAGCCTGGTATGGCTTGAATTGCTTCATCTGCCATGAATGGTACTTTGTGACAACCAGCGCATAAGATTGCTAGATATATTAATTATGAAAAAAGTTAAAATCAACATTCCAAAATATTCATATGATTTTTTTTTTCTCCTTGTATGATAGATAGTGTAGAGAGAAATGTTACACACAGGTTAAGACATATGAATTACATGTAGTTAACTACAAGTTAAAGAAATATTTAACAAATAAAGAAGCCTTGACTGTGCTCAGTTCTGTTGTAAAGCACATGTAGGGAGTGGCTCCCTTCACCTTGTGTAAGTGCTTTACAACAGAATGAGCACAGTCAGGGCTTCTTTACTTGTTTTATAGTAAAGAATCCTTCAAATTCCCCATGCATTACTTACTACTTTCAAAACAAGTTTTTCTTTTCAAAGCAAACAGAAATGTTGCCAGCATGATCTACACTCATAAAACAATAAGCCAATCAGAATCCTTGTCAGAATGGTTCATATAGTCTGATTGGTTGAATTTCAAAAATCAAAGTTCATAATTTGCAATAGTTCACAAACTGAAATAGTTTGGCAGGTTGAATTCAACACTTATGCTTGAAGTTTTTCCAGTCTCTAATACAGAATCTGAAAGTTAAATGTTCAGTGAAATCCTGCCAAAATTAGGAAACAATTAGGAAACAAATTTCTCAAGGCATATGCTTTATGAATGAATGAATGAAACCAGAATTCACAGGAACATGAAGATTGCTCAGGATGACAACACCGTAAAACTCGGCTGCAGTGATTAATGTGGCCTTCCACTCAACGCATTGGAAAGGATATCAGAGCAAGCTCTTAGCTGTTTACTCTAAGGATGGTTGATGTAATTTCTGACACTTACTTCACTGTGATGATCAGAGATTACCATGATAAGCCAGCCACGATGGACCTCTGCATGATCTCTGACACCATCATGATTTATATGAATTGCGGCAGTTGTGCCAGCTTGGTTATATTTTTCATCATATACTACATGAGTGTTAGCTGTGTTTGAGTTTTATTACTGTATGTAAGCTTACAATCTAACTAAGCATGAAAACCTCCAAAACTTGTACAGTCCATTTTGTATCCTTGTAGAGGATTTTTGTCTCTGTTCACATTACAATAACATTAATTTCAGTGCTTGGCATGTTTACGAGCCTTTATTTGGTTTTGTGTTGCTACTTGCCCACTCACTTGCTCTGAAATTTCACTTTCAATTTACAAAGAAACACTATAGAGAAGGCCAAGTAATTGGTCAGACATAGTATTAATTGGCACATTGGGTGACAGCTTTAGCTTGGCTGTGTGTTTTATACTCTGATGGAACATGCTCTTTCAACCAATGACAGTACACACTATACCTGAACTTTTTCATGAAATAAGTTAACTTTCATTAAAGCCAGATTAAACCTGCGCATACAATTAGGCAACAATTTGATTAAGCTACACATAATATCTTTTATGGTTAGACAGAGAAACATAAGAGAAAAATCAAAACAAGGTAAAACCAAAACAGTGACTAGTGAAAATTCACCAGTTAATTGGTCAGATGATACTTTTACTATTGTATGGCTGACTCTCTGGACGGGCAAGATGGAGTTCTGGTTGGTTCCTGACCATTTGACATTACTATTCCAAAGCTGACTTACTTTGTTTAAATTCTACAGGCGTGTTTCACAAGAAGAATGACCAGTTTTCTGGCAGGTTTAAAAGCAACAGATAAATCTTGAATAAAGTCAAAACAAAGACATCCTGGATGAGCTTTCAGAATTTACTTTTCAAGAATGTAATTTATTTATTGACCAAACTTTCTTAGATGAATGTTTTCTTCACCTCAATAGTTCTTGACCTTCAAAAAGACACTTTACGATATATTCAACATATTGTCATCAATAAACACATGTTGCTAAGGTGCCTGAGAAGCCCTGTTTTCACTGACCTGAAGCTGTTGCTGGTCCAACAGCTTTCAATGTTGTTAGTTCTGTGATGGCCAATTTCACATCAGGTAAACACTTGAAAGCATTGCATGTCACCTCCTTGACAGCTTCACTGGTGTTTGTCTGTACAAGCTGAGTCAGGCGGGGCCTGAACTTCCCACGCTGTAAAAGAACAATAGCTTACTTAGTATTCTTTGATCAATATGACTTCATATGACTAAAATGAATCTGTACATTCATTGTTGACCAAGTGACAATCTCATATGAAATATTAAGAAGGGTTTTACACATAAGCTGGCAGACACTAAACCCTGTAGGATTTCAAAAGCACCCCAATTATATCAAGATCTCTACATCTCTCAACTTTCCCAGATTATCTATATGTACATGAATCTTTCAAATGTAAAATGATTCTCCTGGTTTCTAATACAGTTGCCTACATCTCACATAGAGAAACAATTTTGGCTTTTCTTTTTGTTCTGTTTATTTGTTTTGCTTTATTTTGTTTCTGTTTTTTCCTTTTCTTTTTCATTAGAGTAGGAAAATCAATTCAACTGGAGATAAAATTGGTTTTCCTGTTCAGGAATAGTTGTATTTTTTGAAATGTCCTTTGATTCTTGAGAATGTGACAATGTACAGTTTACAGCAGTAGACTGCCCAGGTTGAAAACCTTGGTAAGATCTGGACAAGATCATCCAAGATCTTTCATGATCATAAAAGATCTTGACAAGGTTCTCAACCTGGGTGGAAGCCAACAATAAAAAATAAAACTTGGGGGTGGAGGTTTGGAATGTGATCCAAAATTGATAAGCATGTCCACACTTCAGATTCCCTTCAGCAATACTAGACAGAACTAAGTCGTCTCTCATAACTGAACCATCCTTTTTTAATAGCAGTTTTAAGAATAGCTTACTGTTAATTTCCACTCCATAAGCTTTGTGAGTTCTTCCAGTGTTATATATTTTTCTGATCTCTTGTTTATTTCTTGAGGTAACTGGTTTTGAAACCTGCATGTGTACATTTCAAAGTGCCATTAAAAACAATTTGCTTGTTATGAACTAAACAAAAACATATTCCAAAATTTACCATAAACTTAAA